CTCCCACCCTCCCACCCCAGCAGAGGTCTCAAAGGGATTTTGACTCTATTCTCTGGAGGCCCCTGGGATTCCCAGAAAACACTTCTGGCACTGGAAGCCCACATAGTCACATATCCTCCTGAGGACCCTGGTCCTGTTCCAATCAAGTTTAGGAGTTTAGAAAAATGCTCCCAGTGTTCCTGGGTCACAGCTGGCTCTATGCCATTCACACTGCAGCCAGCGTCTCCACACCTCAGGAGCTTCAGCCTATCCTCATCCCAGGGACCTGGCCTACAGGTCCACTTTCTTTTTTTCCCTCCGGATAGTGATGTGACGTGTTCATTCGTGTCTCTCCCCAGAGGACCACTGCCGGATGAAGTCTGGGCCACGGAGGGTTGATGGGGACAGCCGGGCTGGGGTTGGGGGTGAAGCCTCGGACCCAGAGTCGGCAGCCTCCTCACTCAGTGGGGCTTCCGAGGAAGGCAGTGGCAACGAGAGGAAGAGACAGAAGCAGAAGGGAAGTGTCGGTCGGAGGAGATTTGGGAAACCTAAGGCCCGAGAGAGACAGCGGGGTGAGTGGGTACATGTGATGGGCATGTTGGGGGGGGGTTGGTCTTCATCTAGACTTGTGGTGACTATGTAGAGGTGTCCCAGTCGCCCCATATATAAAAAGACCAGACCGGATCCATCTCTCAGCTTTGCTATGTGGTCCTGAGTGAACTTCGATTTACACCAGTCAGCAGGGTCATCTTGGGTACCTCAACTTCCCAATCCTGTTTCCTCATCAGAAAGAGGTGGGTGGCCTCTGGGTGCACCTCACAGGTTGCAGACTACAGGAGTCTGTTGGGACACGGCTCAGATGGGACTCTGGGGGATTCACTGGCTTAATGCCGCTTCTCATTTCCTCTGTGTTCTAGCCTGTCTTCACTGTCTCACTTGTATCCATTTCCTGTATCTGTGCTCTCCCGTTTCCCCACTTTGTTCTCCTGCTCTTCCTATACGGGGCACCCCTTGAGTCCCTGCTACCTTTTGCTTTCTAACGTGTGTGCCCTTCACCTCTCCTCATGCCTGCTCGTGTCTACCTGGCTTTCCCCATCTCTCTGGCCCCACATGGCTGTCTTTCCCTGTCCTCTTTCTTTCTGGCCCTGCAGTGAAGGATGCTGATGGGGTCCTCTGCCGCTACAAGAAGATCCTAGGCACCTTCCAGAAGCTGAAGAGTATGTCTCGTGCCTTTGAGCACCACCGCGTGGACCGCAACACTGTGGCACTGACCACACCCATCGCGGAGCTGCTCATCGTGGCTCCCGAAAAGCTGGCTGAGGTGGGAGAGTTCGACCCGTCCAAGGAGCGCCTGCTCGAGTACTCCCGCCGCTGCTTCCTGGCACTGGACGACGAGACCCTCAAGAAGGTGCAGGCTCTCAAGAAGAGCAAGCTGCTGCTGCCCATCACCTATCGCTTCAAGCGGTGATCCCGCCACCCCGCACGCCTCCGCGCCCTGCAGACCGCTCGCCAGGCCCGACCCGGGGATCCGCCTGGTTCCGGGTCCAGGCCCTGCCCTTCGGCCGCCCACACCGTCTCCATCCCACTCCGCGGAGGCCTCCAGCTCGGCCTCCCCAGCCAGGAGCTGCCCATCCTTATCCCATGCGAGACAGAGTATTATTCAGAGAATTTAAATTAAAGAGACGTGAAAATTTGCAATACACTGGGCCCCAGGTCTTCCTAGGAAGGGGATGTGCCTGGAGGGGGTGGCCGTCGTCAAGGAGACCGGGATGGAGGCGGTCACACGGGAGCAGGGGAGGTTGGGGAGGACAGGGTGTAATTAGCCCCGAGAGGCAGAGGTGGGAAGGGGAGCGGCAGCCATTCCCCGAGCAACTAGAGGTGGGGTCCAGAAACGAGGAGTGGATGTTCCACGCTCCTCTAGTCTCTGGACCGCAGATGCGGCGGCAGCCGGTACTCGGTGACCTCTAGCTACCGCGGTCTCCTCGGGATACTACAGGCCTGAGCCGGGCACATTTCCGCCCGGCCGCCAGAGGTCAGTAGAGAGCCGGTGCCACTTCCTGCGCCTGCGCAGCAGGAGCGGGGGCGGACGCGCAGGCGTGGTTGCCGAGACAACCCTGAGAGCGCAGCCTTGCTTTAACGGTCGAGTGGCTAGCGCCTCCATTCTCGGGAGGAAAAATGTTGCGCACGCGTAATATAGACTTTGGACCGGCGCCTCCTCCCCAGGCAACGACAAAACTCGCCACAGACTGACGGCTACGCAGGCGCACAAACCCGTCTCTTCCCAGCCTCGATCCCGGTGCGCAGGCGCTCCGAACCGCGCTCGCAACCTCCGCAGCAGCCTCCAGCACCCTTCGCCCCACTGCCTGCTATTGTCTCGTGCACCTTCTGGCCCTTAACGAGGTCGGCCTTTCCCGTTCTCCTCTCACCGGGAGAGCTAGGTGCTGAGCGCTGGAACCCCGCCCTCTCTTCCGTATCCCTTCCCCAAACCCACCTCGCCTCTGTCCTCCCTCCCTTTTCTGTTCTCGAAGCCGGAAGGAACCGAAGCAACGACGGAAAAAGCCGAAGTTGTCCTCTGAGCGAGAAGCCTTCCCGAAGCTGTGGCGGAAGGGAACGAAATTTTCCGGAAGGGGCGGAGTGACGGAGTGGAATCTCCGGAAAGAGCCGAAGATTGGAATCGAGCTAAATCTCTGGAGGGGCCAGAGAGCGAGCGCTGGAAAGCTTCGGAACGATCCGAAGGCTGGGACGGTTAGGACTGTCGTTAAACTGACCGACTTCTTGGACAGGGCCGGCCAGGGGCGGGACGAATCTTCAGACGAAACCAAAGACTGAGACAGTTTGAATTGTCGGAACAACCCGAACCTTTAGAGGGGGCTGGTGCAGGGGAACGGGAAGGCCCACGGAAACCTCCGAACGTTGAGACGCTTATCTCGGAAAAGTTACCGAAACTTGAACAGCCAGCAAAATCCTTGCTTCCTGTGTTTTCCGGGACAGCCTTCGCCACAGCCTGAGGAGTCTCGGCCAAAGACTGAGACAGTTTGAATTGTCGGAACAACCCGAACCTTTAGAGGGGGCTGGTGCAGGGGAACGGGAAGGCCCACGGAAACCTCCGAACGTTGAGACGCTTATCTCGGAAAAGTTACCGAAACTTGAACAGCCAGCAAAATCCTTGCTTCCTGTGTTTTCCGGGACAGCCTTCGCCACAGCCTGAGGAGTCTCGGACTACCGTC